ATTTTAATTTCAACATCACCAGCCGCAGCACTGTCTCTGTCGCCTTTCTCTGGTTGCGCCTCAGTCCGTATCCCCAGTGTAGGTACCAGATTGACTCGGGCTCCCAGATTGACTTGGGGGCCTGCGCCTTTTGATGACGTCACAATACATAATTGTTTTAATGTTTGCACAATTGCGCAAAACATTTTGATTGGTCTGGACAGCTTACTAAAGTAATTATAGCAGGGTGTAGGTTTTATTCGAAAGCGAGATTACGGTTTGTAAACGGACAATTTTTTACGAAGAAATTCTCCTTGGTCCCTGCGCCTTCCGATGACGTCACCGAATTCGCCATGGGCCTTGCGCCTCCCGATGACGTCACATTATGGCAACGCCTCTCAAACAAACTACATTTGGTCTGCATTTGTAACGACAATAAATAGAGACCGCGGGCGCAATGTAGTTTGTTTGAGTGGAGTTGCCATATAGTTACGAGTGGCGTTGCCATATTGTGACGGGCGGAGTTGCCATATTATGACGTCATCAAAAGGCGCAGGCCCCCGAGTCAATCTGGCAGCCCGAGTCAATCTGGTACCTACACCGGTCAGCATTTGGTGCATAGAACCAATGTGAGTGATCCATCGCCAAACCTGGAAGTTAGAAATCTAGCGCCCCTAGTGGTTAAAAGTTTCATAGCGTTGCTTTAACTGTCTGTGTGGAGCTTAGTTTCTCTGTTTTGTTTCATTTATTTTCAGTTCCATCGCCTCCGTCCAGCTGAAATATGGGATGGTCACCTTTCACTATTTGCTGCCCCCAGAGGCTGACCGCTTTACTGCAGCCTGCACTTTTAGCAAACTGTTGGGTGAGTAGAGCAGAAGCTACTATTCAGTACAAAGTAATCATGAAGAGATAGTAAAATCTGCCAACTATAAAAAGTAAAATTTGTTTTTTTTTTCCTCTTGCAGATCTGGTGTCGGATAAACAGGTGACTGCCGGTCAGCCTAAGCCCTACGGGAACATTAGCATAAAGCCAGCAGCAACCAGGGCAGCGCATTCATTCTGTCCTTAAATTAAACGTTATCAGTAGTTTGTCTGTTGCTCAAATTTGTGGTTTTTAAGCATTTTTAAAAGTTGGATGTTAAAAGAAATGCAGTTTTTCTATCTTTTAGAGTTTTAATGAATTTATACGTTTTTAATGTGTTGTTATGGTTCCATCTTGTATTTGTTCTGTTCCAGCTTTTGTAAAAAAAAACAAATATCACATTAAAAAAGATTTCAAGCTTAGCTTTGTTTCTTTTGTATCATTTATTCTTTCAGAATAAATTACTTATAAAGTCTGTGCAAATAAAGAAGGATATGTGAGGTCTGCAGATGCTGTCATTTTCATTTTGCAACATCTGTGCAGTTCCCGGTTGGAGGTAGTGTTCGCCATGTTGACCTTCTCTGCAGACCTGACTGATGCAGCCTGAACACACAGAGCTCAGACCTCTGCCAAGCAGCAAATTGTGCCCCATGTTTTGATCGATTACACGATTGCTAAAACGCCACATGATCTGGATCATTACCAAATTTTAATGGATTGTTCTTAAGCATGAGCCAACCCTCTGGTAAAAAAAATCCAGTAATCCTGCTAACAAACCAACAAGGCTCCATTTTATTGTGTTTTTGTCTTCACTATAATACTTCTGATGCTGAAGCTGTCAACAGTCACTGCTGCCATCCTCTGGTTTGGGGGGGAACTGCTTGTTCCCCCAAATGTTGAAGAACCCCGTTAAAAAATCTTGTTCTTGGATGAACAAATTAATTAATCCTTGGCATTAGACGAAGCTCTAGATAAAGAAAAAAAAAATTAAATCTGTCCATAAATTAATCTTCCTAATTATCAAACAGACATCTAAATTCATAACTTTCTTTGCAGAAAGTAATAATAGAAGTACAGAAGCTGACCAGCAGATCCCTGGTCTGATTGTTCCTGTTTTCCTTAGTTATCCATTTGTTGTCCTCTGGTGTCCTCCCTTCCTGTTTCTCTGTCCTGCCAAGCACCTGTTGCCAATTTCCTCGTCAGCTCTCTCTCTGTCTCTGTCCCCTTTAAAAGCCCTCCCTGTTCTGTTCCTGTTTGCTGGATCCTCATCAAACATCCCGTCTTGCTTCCTGTCTGTTATCTGCCTGCCCTGTCTCGTCTCTCCCTGACTTCTAGTTTGATTTATCCCTGATGTCTCCTTGGTTCAGGTTCGTTTGCTGTTTTTCTGTTGGACTCTGATTCCTTAACCTGACAACAGCCAGATGCATGTCTCGCTCCGCCCAGCTCCACTCACATATGTGAGCGGAGCTAGGCGGAGTGAGACATGCATCTGGCTGTTGTCAGGTTACTGATTCCTGCCCCTGGTTCAGTGAACCAGAATAAACAGGCTTTATTCACCTCTGCCTACTGGTCTCTGCGTTTGGGTCCTCCACACAAACACCGATCATGACACTGACCAGCAGTGACTGTGGAAGGTTTAACTTCCTGAATTGCAGTAGAAAGTGCAGAACTCGTCTGCTCAACAGTTTTATTCCCCGGACAGCTCTTTGTAGAGATAGTCTACTCTGACCTTTTCTAACATAGAAGGTATTCACAGATCAGTACTTCTATGCTTCTTTCTGTACGTCTTCCGTCTCCTTGAACCTCAGTCGGCCTCGGCAGATGGCCGCTCTCACTGAACTTGGTTCTGCTGGAGGTTTCTTCCATTAAAGGGTAGTTTTCCTCTCCACTGTCGCTACAAGCATGCTTGTAGAGTCAATGAGTCGATGCAATCAACTGGTTTTCTATAGAAAACGTAGAACTAATTTGCCTGTTGATCTGGCTGAATTGTCTCTGTAAAGTGCCTTGTGACATGTATAAATAAACTGAATTGAATTATCTGCTGTGCCTTCTTATCTGCGAGAACCAACTCTGGTCCCTAGAAATAGTTGTTCTGAGGGACCGAATGTTGGTGGTGTTCTTAGGAAATATGTAGATCAAATCGTTACCAACCTGGATGGAAGTCGTTTCTGTAAAGTTCATTTTAACAGGCGGATCCACTGAGGTAAAGTTATTTGTGTGCAGAGAAAAGAGGAGTGGGGAATGAACACATCCTTGTAAGACGCTGGTGTTAATGATTCTCGTGCAGAAGATGCTCCTCACCTTCACCTGCTGGTTAATCTGGAAGCTGGTGACAGGTAGAAGTTGGCACTGCCGTTGATGTTGCTAATGACTGAACTGACAACCAATCCTGGCCTGTGTTGGTTGGTGCAGGAAGAAGTGTAGACCCAATATTCCTTCATCGGCTGGACACATCTTCACCCATTAACAGCATCTGTAACGCAAAACATTTCTAAACTCCTTATTGGATGAAAGTGGAATGCGTTTAAAATGTGACCTCATGCGTTAATAACTACAGATGAGGTGATTACATGTTTCATAAACCGGCTACCAGCACTGTTTTTGTCGCACCTCAGTGCAACTGAGGCCTAAGCTGATGTCAGCGCTGCAGTGGTGGAACAGAAACCCTCATTGACATCAGTGTGGTGGAATGATGACGTGTTTATATCAGAGTATTTCTCTGCCTGGGAATACACTCCCTTTGATTATTACATGTTCTGGTGTAGAAATCTATTTTCCTAAATCTGCCGAGTTGTAGATCACAGAAATGTAGAAAAGAAAGAAGCACATCGTTGAATTTGTATATTTATAAGACATGAGGCCAAATGAAGAGTAGGCAGTGCTGGGAAGGCAGGGTCACTGGCCGGTTAGGGATGCAGGTGGCAAAACTGGTGTTTGTGTGTCAGGATCATTTGTTGCTGTCCATGGAAATACAACATGCAGAGCCCTGAGTAAACTAACCAAGGGTTTCTGCATGGGTCAGCGCAGTATAGAATATTTCAGAGTAATGCATTTAATAAAGAGGTCTAATTATTGTTCTTTATATGGTGACCACGGAAGGATGCAACAGGCGATCACTGCAACATGTGCTTTTTTTCCCTCTTCTATCCAAAACAAGCTAGAATGCTGGCACTCATGCTGACCCACCTTCCAGAGAAGCAGTTAAATTTTACAGCTAATCTAGCTCCAATTTATTGGAGCAAATTAGGGTATAAAAGTACCTATTGCTTTAAATGAGTGATAAGTTTACATTTGTCAGGTTGGGTGAAGGTTTGAAGAGGAAATGCAGAGACTGAAGCTGAAGTGGTTCTTGCAGATCTAATGGCAAACATGATAACAGAAGCAAAAATCCCCTAACATAGTTCACAAAATCCAAAAATACTGAAAACCAGGAATATTTACAAGGGGGGGAAGAAATTATGACAAACCAGCCAACAGTAACTATGAAGGAGGTGCATTTATGGGAGAGAGAAACAAAGACCAGGCTAATCAGCAGATTGGGAGCAGGTGTGAACAGAGGAGACTAGAAGGGAGCTAGGAGAAGGAGACTGACACAAGAGGGCCAACAAGAAATACCTAAGATTTCAAATACCATCAATAATAACTGGATCAGCACAAATTGGAAATAAAACCATTGAAAGAACCAAAACCATGACAACGTTTAGCTGATATTGTATGAAGATTGTTTATCAGGTAGTTTAGCTACAACATTAAGCTTTATGTTGGCTAATATAATAAAGACCATAGCAGTATTTTTTATATAGATCATAGTTGTACCCAATTTGTTGTGGTTTTCCCAAATGATTTTTGAAGAAAAAAAATCTCAAACTATATGTTATATAATGAATGACAATTGACTAAATAAAATTTAACTGCTTTTTATATTGTCTCAACCTCCGGAACATTCAGTGGTATATAACCCTAATAATTAACAGTAAAATTCCCTGTATTTGCAACAGGCTGCAAGTTGCATTCATCCCCAATCAATGCTGCAGCTGTGCCCGGTCCGTAGCCAAACACAATGCAAATACTGAAAAATTTACTTTATTCAATTGGCTTGAAATCTTTTTGACTTTATACAAATATAAGGAAGTTGGGGGTTTTGTTAATGTAACAAATTGGTTTGTCTAACCTAAACTATCTCTGAATAACAGATTCAAATGGAGTCAGCATTGTCAATCTGATTGTCCATTCGTGGATTTCCATACGATTATTCATCCAACTAACTTCGAATTGTCCAGTTTATCCATGTCTGCATGTCTATATATAACTATATTATAGTTTTTTTTATTTATTGACTGTGCAATATTCTGTGCAATATGCTAACTGTGCAATATATGTGAATATAATAGTCATACCACTACCTCACCGTTGTCCCTTACCTACTACACTTTAATGTAAAAGTCAATCCACCTGTATATAAGCCATCCTGATTGTACATATGTCACCTCAAATCTCTGTGTTATTCCCTTGTATTTTTAATTTTTTTATTTGTTATTTTTTATCTTATTTTTATTCCTAATGCACCTTTTCCTCCTTGTTTGCACCTTCTTAATTACTATGCCAATATGTGACCAGTGAATTTCTCCGCTGTGAGATCAATTAAGCTCATCTAATCTAATATCAGATCTGTTTGCTTTTCTATTAGGCTGCTTGTCAGGAACCTTTGTCTTCAACCTTTAACATTAGGAAATCCAGCCTGAAAAAGTAAATTAGAATTAGAAAAAACCTTATTATTGCCCAAGAGGTAGGCAATTGTTTGCCACCAACCATTATCACATCACATACATTCAAACTAAAATATAAAAAAAGAGCAGAGTATAATGAAAATGGCAATTAAATTTTTTTCTAAAGTTTATTCTAAAAAGTAGGAACCTAACATTTTTCCAGTCATGTTCCATCTGCGTATCTTACAAGAAGCCAGAGCGCCTTTGTCCTTTTTCCTGAAGTGGAGGATGTGGTGACGCTTCCAGAGGCTCATACACCAACCTCATGTTCACCTCAGGAGAAATAAGGCCGATGGGAAGAGGAGAGGACGAGATAAGGCGGCCAGGATCTTTTCATTACACGCCGTCATAAATCTGTCATCCACGAGGTCGGAGGCTGGCCTTTTAATGTTTCATGTCAGCCCACATCTTCATCCAAAATACATGAATCACTCAGCTTGCAGGGTTTACACTCTGGCTGAACATACCTAAGGCCACGTTTCCTGTATTTGTGTGCTTAGAATAACCCTCAGTGACTTCAGCAGGAGTCTAAACCCCAAGCGCTGTCAGTCAGCTCCCTGACAATTTAATAAACCTGACACCTGGACGACACATAGCACACA